GGCCACTTCCTCATGCGACCTACTTGTGCCTTCAGGTCCTGCTTAAGCCTGATCTCTGATATACCACTTCCATTTAATGATGGAGTGCTGCTGTGCATGTCCAACTTTATGACTCTGTGGGTCAGACAACACCCAGTTCATGATGGGCAGCTTAGGCCTCATGGTGACTTGGTGGTTACCATGAATACATGGTTAGGTATTCAGTCTTTACTAAAGCCCAGTAACAAACTAAAAGCTGTTTCTCAAAAGGAGAGTAGTTATCTGCAGAGGATGGCAGGGCTTTGCTCCAAATCCCAAGGGTCTGCATTGCAATTCACCATTAGGGACCTGCCAAAGACTTCACATAGCATCTCTAGTGACTACAGACACTTCAAGAACCATTGTATCAGCTGGATCTTTTGGCCTAAGTGGCAGAGCAGCCTGCATGGCAGCCTGAAACTGTTGCAGAACCTTCTGTTGTTCTGGGTCCCACTCAAAACTAGCAGATTTCCTAATCACTTGTTAAATAGGCCACAACAACACACCCAAATAAGGGATATGTTGCCTCCAAAATCCAAAGAGGTTCACCAGATATTCTTCCTCCTTTTTAGTTGTGGGGGAAGCCTGATACAATAACTTATTCACTTTAGTCGAAATATCTGGACACCTCACACCATTGAACCCCTAGAAATTTTACTGAAGTGGAAGGTGCCTGAACTTTTGTTGGGTTAATTTCCCAACCTCCAGCACACATAGGTCTCACCAATAAGTCTAGAGTCATCGATACTTCTTCTTTAGTAGTTCCTAGCAACATGAATTAAATGGGATGAGGCGGGAATCACCAGCCTTGCATCCTTTAAGTCTTTGATGGTGGCAGTAATCTCTGCAACCCCTCCAGGGATGCAGTATTGGTTTTTGTTTACTATTTTTGCAGGTAGAAGCAGTTCTAATGGCTTCCACTTGGCTTTTCTTACCATAATAGCCCTTATTCCTCATGTCAAGGACCAAATAAGGGAATTCTGCTAATTGCTGAGTATATCTATTCTAATTATGCAGTCTGGAACAGGGGAAATCACTACAGGATGGGTATAGGGACCCACTGGGCCCACTGTGAGATACCCCTTAGCTAAGACTCCATCAATAACTTGACCTCCATATGCCCCCATTCTGACTGGTGGACCACAATGACACTTTGGGTTTCCTGGAATTAGTGTCAGTTCAGAGCAAGTGTCCAGTAATCCCCAAAAAGTCTGATTATTTCATTTTTCCCAATGAACAGTTACTCTCCTAAAGTTCTCAGATCCCTTTGGGGAAGGCTAGGAGAAAGATTGGCATTATAGACTTTTGGCAATGTAGTGGAGTCCTTCTCAAAGGGACTTGGTCTTCCCTTCATTGAAGGGGTTCTGGGTCTGTAAACTGACTCAAGTCTGGGAATTGATTGAGAGGCCATGACTGTATCAAGCTGGGATAGAGGGGGTAATGGTTTTACTGTAATCCCTTCAGATGAGAGGGATTCAACAGAATTTACAGGCTCTATATCCTGATCTTCTGGACTATCTGCCCATATGCCCCCATTCCGGGTTTCAGGATCCCACTTTGTTCCAATCAATGCCCTAACTTTAACTTCAGACACCATTCTGGGTTGGTAATTTAATTGGTGTTGTAATTCAGCAACCCTTACAATAAGACTCCAGGTCTGGTTTTTGGCAATATCAGCTCTGTTACTAGAAGAAATAATGCTTTCTTTCAGAGCAGAACTGGAAACATTGAGTTCCAGTTATGCAGTGCTTATGCTTGACTCAGCAGCCCTGGGCTCATCTTGCTCTTTGACCACTTTGTCTAGGGTAAGTAGGACCAACCAACAAGCTTCTTTATACTCCTCCTGCTGACAAAATTGCAGAAAAGTATAAAATATGTGATCACTCAGAGCCCCACTTCTCTCTTATATCTCATAGATACAAAAATCTATGAATTAATTTACTCAAAAGTACTTTATTTATTGGTGGTGCTATTTGGCATATTAATGTTGCCACTTCACACCATGGATTAGCTAGGCCCTCTTTTCTAACAAAGGCAGGGTCACAAGTGCCTTTATGATTAATAAAATTGGAGAACCAATTTAGGAAGCCCATCCTTATGATAAGAGCTCTGGTAGCATAGTGCCTAAGGCACTTGACTGCTAACCAGAAGGCTGGTGGTTCAAACCCACCAGCCACTCCTCAGAAGGAAGGTTGGACAATCTACTTCCCTAGTGATACCACCTCAGAAACCCAAGGAGAGGTTGCTATGAGTTGGGGCTGACTCTACGGCACATAACAACAAAACCCTTATGATTGTGTCTCTCTACAATTGTTCGCGGTACCAAATGTGTTAGACTGGGTTCTCTAGAGAAGCAAAACCAGTAAACCGTATATTCATAGGGAGAGAGAAAGATAAATTTATCTTAGGAAAATGGCTTACACACTTATAGAAGCTGTCAAGTCCCAAGTTCTTGGATCAAATGTCAAGCTGGAGGCTTTTCCCAACTCACACAGCTACAGGGGCTGATGAGCTCAAGGTTGGCAGACAGTATACTGGCTGTTGACTCCAATGAATGCTGAATCCAAGATCTCCATGCCAAAGGGTGGATTGTTTGCTCACAGACAGTTGTGGGCAGCACAATAGAATCCTGATCCACAGAAGAGTGTCTCTTTTCCCAGGATGTCCATAAATATACTGGAAGTAGACCACACCCCTAGGGAAACTCCCTGTCAGTGAATTGGCTGCTCAAAACACATACATCTAATCCCATCATTGGAACAACCCACATCACAATTGCTTAAACCACATAGAATTGTAGTCCAGACAAGTTGACACACAGCTCCAACTATTACAGCAGTTAAACAAATGCCTTAGGCACTATGTTGCAAGAGCTCAGGGAAAAAAATAAAAGAGCAAGTATGTATTTATAAAATATATTAACTACTTTTTTATTAACTTTTATTACCTTCTCTTTTCTCAGTTGATCTGAGTTTCTATAGGGTGTCATTTTCATTTTGAAGTACAGCTTTTTTCTAACATCTTACTTCATCTGGTTATTGTCAGATATATTTCACTTTATAGACAATAAGGCCAACAACAACAATATATCTGTCTCCAATTCTGTTATTCACTAGGAATAATGTAGCTACTGATGGCATAACAAATGAGGCAATTTTTACCTATGGAGGTTATGTTTGCCCATAATTTTAATAAAAATTAATGAAAAAAGTATTCTCTAAATAGACAAGTATGTATGGAAATAGAATGTTGCAGGTAGGAATACAAATTTGACATGGGTATTTGGAAGAATAATCAATGGTATATAGAAAATTTTCAAATCTATTTGATTAACTAATTATTCTCAAATAATTTATTGTAAAAAAATAGATGGATATATGTACAACAATATATTACAATTATGTTATTCACAATATGTAATATGAAAAAACATCAGAAGAGTTCTAAAAATATTGTATATTCATATCCTGAAGTGCATGTAAATATTAAAAAGCAGGGATTAATCATATTTGAGTGTCAGAAAATATTTCTTAAAAGTGATAAAGTGAAAAATAAGCATACAGAATAAAGCTTGAAAATATATCATTTATACTGAAACTTTTTTTTTTTTGTAGTTGTAATCAAGATTCAGAGAAAATTGAAATAAAACACAATAGAACATTTTAGAATTCTATACTGGGAAAGGAAATGGAGTAGAGTTTGTGAGAGAGAATTTCTGGTATATTAAATATTTTGTAAGACCAAAGGATTTATATTATGCTTATGATAAGTAAAAACAACATTAAAATAGGTACTAAATGAACTGACATAGTTAATTACTTGTGTCCATAAAGTTATTTATTCATTTATTTTCACCAAAAATAAAGGTACACACAGTCTACTGAGGGAATAAACCCAGTATTAAATTATTCTGATGTTGATTTTATAGGTCTTATAACAGAAAACCCTGTTAGATAGGCAAAGTACATAGAGATAGACCTGAATTTTGAATGGAAAATTTCCATGTACATAACAGTATATACAGGAAATGATCTTCCCCCTCAGGGATCTTGGCCAATACTCTTAAGTAGCCCCCATTCTCATTAGTCAATTGTAACCTCTTATAAAACTTCAGGAGAAATACAAGTATTCTTTTAGCCTGTGCACATCAATAGACAGAAGACTACAACCCAGCCAATGCATAGAAAACAGAATAGCAGTATTTACACAGAAATGTGTTTCCTGCTGAATGAAAAATTCCCCTCATCCAGGCTTTCTTACTTTATGAGAAAGTACTTTCTGTCAATCTCCTCCTCAGCTTTCATTTTCCCAGCATTTTAAACAATGGAGACCTGAAGTGGGCAAAGTATATTTCTATTAAGGAGTGCATTTCTCCCAAGCTTATGTGCATCTAGTACCATAACTTCCCTGGGAAACAGGTCTGCTCATTTTAGCTCTCTATTTAAATAAGTACATTTGTTTTACCTGATTATTTTTATATATATTTTTTAAAATAACCTGTTAATTAATATATTTTAAGTTTAGTTGTTCAGCATATGATAATCACTTAGTCTTTCTAACTATTGATAAGAACAGAGAACAGGCATATATTTCTAGGATTCTATTTAATCTTCAAAAATAGCTCATATATGATCTGGTTAATTTGAAGATTTTGTAAAATTGTCAAAGATCCAATTATGATTTTGAATATGGTCAAAATACGTATCATTACACCAGGCAACCAAATGGTAGGTTATTCCATCTTCTATCTTTCTCTTAAAGAATATCTCAACATAATTTATGGTACATGAGTTGAAAATTATAAAGTGTAAGATGTAACTTCCATGAGATACTCCAATGACCTTAAAATTTTTTCCTCTAGAATATAATGAAATAGAGAACTAACAAAAAGGACAGATTCTGATGATGTAAGTGAATGCAGTAAATACCATTTTTCTTAAGTTTCTGCAGACAATAATCAACATGCCTCAGAAAATAGTCAACATTACCATCGTAATGGAATTCTTACTCATGGGATTCCCTGGTGACTGGATGTTACAGAAACTGTATGCAGCCTTCTTCTGCCTCATCTACCTAACAGCGCTGATGGGGAATCTCCTCATTGTCACTCTCACCACCATTGACGAGCACCTCCGAGCCCCCTTGCATTTCTTCCTGAAGAATTTATCCTTAATTGACGTGTGCTATATCTCTGTTACTATCCCCAAGTCCATCATGAACTCTCTGTCCAACAGCCATTCCATCTATCTACCAGGATGTGCCTTGCAGGTTTTTCTTGTTATGTTTCTTGCTGGCACAGAGTATGCCCTCCTTATGGTCATGTCCTATGACCGCTTTGCTGCCATCTGCCATCCTCTGCACTATGAGACCATTGTGAATAGATATGCCTGTGTGCAGATGGTGACTGCATCGTGGCTCAGTGGATGTGTCTATGGATGCATTCATGTAGCAGGTACATTCTCTGTCAATTTCTGTGGGTCTAACTTAATTCACCAGTTCTTTTGTGATATTCCATCATTACTTACACTTGCTTGTTCTGGGGAGCATATTTTAGAATATGCATTTATCATTGCTAGCTGTTGTTTTTCTTTTGTATGTTTTATTTTAATTATTGTTTCCTATGCTCACATTTTCTCAGCTGTTTTAAGAATTTCATCTATTCAAGGCAAATTCAAAACTTTCTCTACCTGCATACCCCACCTCACTGTAGTAACCTTGTTTTTCTCTTCTGGAGCCATTGCATATTTAGGTTCAGCCTTCAAATCTCCATCATCAATGCATCTCCTTACATCTGTGTTATACTCCTTAGTACCTCCTACGCTGAATCCTGTCATTTACAGTCTGAGAAACAAGAATATGAAGGTGGCCCTTAGCAAAATGTTTGGTGTAAAAATGGTCTCAAAGATATAAATGTATTAATTAGTAGTGACTTTAATATATACTAGTATATATCAGATTATTTGGTTTATAGGAATCTATTTAAGGAGACTTGGTTGTGTAAATATTAAGTACTCAGCTCAAATAAAAGTCATGGTTTAAATCCACCAGCCATTACATGGGAGAAAAAACCTGGTGATGGGTTCTCTTAAAGAATACAAAAATCTGTAAATGAATTTACATCTATTATTATTTTTAAAAAATTACTTCTAAATTTAATTATTTTTATGTTTAAATTAGGAGCTCTGGTGTTATAGTGCCTAAGGCATTTGACTGTTAACTAGAAGGTTGGCAGTTCAAACTCAGCAGCCATTCCTCAGAAGGAAGTTTGTGCAATCTACTTCCAGAGATATACTGCCTTGGAAACCCAAGGAGGGGTTGCTATGAGTCAGACAGACTTGACGGCAGTGAGTTCGTTTTTTGATTATATGGTTAAATTTACCATGTTAGTATTAAATGCACTTTTTCTAAATGTAAATATACTTCTGATTTACCTCTGAACTGTAATACATTATCATGGAAAAATGTCTTTCTCCCCCCACCCCCCGCTGTTTATCTGTTCCTGTACTTTCATTCTTCCTCTTTATATTTTCCTTCCCACTTTCTAGCTTTGCTAGCTATTTCTTTTCTCTTCTTCATTTCCTCAATATTTCTTTTCTATTTTACTTAGAAAGATTTAAGTTCTCTCAAGTTGTGCATCTGTTATGAAATAATTTCTTTACTATTTGATTCTTTCTTTCCCTTTCAATTGCCACTGCTTACCTTCTTGATTTTTCTTCCTATTTCCCTCATTCTTGTAAAACTATAGTTTAAATGCAATCTTGATGATGATAATGATGATGATGGGATGATTTCCTGTTCGTTTCAGTACTTCACATGAGTGTACCTATTCTTTCCTCTCAAAAACACTGCAAGACAACTGTTATTAATGTCTCTTTTTTCATATGGAAAGCTAGAAGAAAGAGGAACATAACCTTAAATTATTCTGTACTTATAAAACCCACATCTGACTATACTCTTGCTCTACCAGGACATCCTATGGATTATCTCTTATAAGTTAATGTATGTTTGTCTTCAGTATCTATATGGTTATAAAACAGTAATTATCCAAACTCCATAATAAACACATAAGGGTTAACATCTGTTCTATTAAATATCATTAACATCATTCAATAAATGGATAAGCATACTATGGTTCATTCATAGTGATACACTATTCGACAATAAAAGTAAAGTTCATATATGCTAATATATGCAACCATTTGGATGTATCTAAAAGACAAAATAATGAGTAACAGTGTCATTCTGAAAAATATTATACTTGCATTAAAGGAAATAATTGAAAAGATATAATAAGTATGGAGAACAGATGAGTGCTTGCCAGAGATTAGAGTTGAATGAAGTTTTGACTGTAGAAGAGCAGAACGATGGAAGATTTCCTGGTGATGAAACTGTTCTGTAGTCTAATTGCTGTGGTAGTTATATGTGTGTGTTACAGCTCATAGAACTGTAAGCTAAAGTAGGACAGATTTTCATGTTTTTTCAGTCAGCTAGGAAGAATACAGACAGCACCCCCGAATGCCCATTTTTGCATGTTCTCGATCCAACCTTCTGTCCTGGCTGTTGCTGCAATACCTGCTGAGCATTTCATGATAGTAACTTTGAATTACAATCTGTAGCACCTGCTTTCTCTCTAGGATTTTAAGGCCTCTCCATCCTGGATTGTCTGAAGGAGGAATTTAATATTAGCTTCTGAAGGGATTAAAACTCCCTTGTACAAACAATAGAAAATGAGAGCAACTGGAAAGGTCTCCCCTCTCCATTTCTTAGGCTAATACCTCCAAAGTTCATCCTGCATATTCCTCAATAGATTCTCCAGGAAAATGAACATGTTTCCCACAGCAGTAACTGGATGAATAGCTCATCCTTGGAATGACATTCTTTCCTGTATTGTTTCACTCCTATCAACCCTTACTCTCAAGTTCATGGGAATAACTTCTATAAGTGCACTAATTGTACTAAGACTTTTTTCTTAGATTCTGTTTTGGAGGAAAGATAACTTAAAACATTTTCTGGGAGGTCTGGTTTATCACTCTATAACAATATTTTGTCAAGGTATAATATTACACATTTCCCTATGTTAAAATTGTTACTATTTTAGAATTACAAATAGTTTAATAATTAACTAATCTTGATTGTCTATATTCTAATTAGTATGAGATATTTAATTTCCATCAAAATCTCCATTTCAATGCATAAAAATATTTTAAACCTCTCCATACCTACCTAGTGCAAATTGATTTAGTGTAACCTCCAACTATTTTACAATATACTTGCTATGGGGTCAAAATCTGTCTCACTGCTTCCACAGGTACATGGAGAATACAAAACCAAACAAACTAATGATCCTTGACTCAATTCAGACTTATGGTGACTCTGCATGTGTCAGAGTAGAACTTTGCTAGATATAAGTGTCTGGGGCTAATATTTCAGGAGTAGATTGCAAGAGCTTTCTTCTGCAATTGAACAATACATTGTGTGACTTTCTTGTATTGAATGGTGAAGTCTGGAAATCACTTTGAGTAATCCACCCTCAGAGGCCTTGCATAGTGATTTATTGTGGAGCTCTGGTGTCATGGTGCCTAAGGCATTTGACTGCTAACCAGAAGGCTGGAGGTTCAAACCCACTAGCCACTCCACAAAAGGGAGATTGGGAAATTTACTTCCATAGCAATACCTCCTCGGAAACCCAAAGAGTGGTCCATATGAGTCAGGACCAAATTGATGACAATAAGTTTGTGATATAGAGCAGAGGAGCCAAAAGTAGACCTTGCATTCCTGGGCAGCAGTGATCATGGAACGGCCTGGAGGACCCACTTGATGGTAGGCCTTAATCAGACCTGTGTCCACAAACTCACATTTACAATGTAATATTTCTGTGATAACATTTCTTTCTTCAAGTGTACTAAATCTTCAACTGATAGTTGTTTTTGTAATCTCATATTCATAAATGACCAAAAATGCAATAAGCTGCATAGTAGTCCTCAGAGTCAAGATCTGGGATTTCCTAATGATTCCTATGTAGAAAGAATTAAAGCCACAGTCTTAATACCTTATAACAATGTGTTTTTTTCACAGTGATTGTATAGAATAGCAATTGCAATCAAAGTAAAAAGAGCCACGATACAAACAATTATATGCACACCCATATTCATCATAGTATTATTCATGATACCAAAAAGATGGAGGGAAATAAAACTAAATGCTCATCAACAGACAAATGGATAAACAAACTATAGCACATACACAATAGAATACTATGAAATGTTAATAATAATGATGTATCTGTGAAACATCTCATAACATGGTTTAACTTAGAAGAAAAGATGCTAAGTAAAATTAGTCAATTATTAAATGAAAATTATTGCATGAGACCATTGTAAAAAGGTATGAAAAGCTTTAGACACAAAAAACATCATTATCTGAAAGTTACCAGACGTAGGAGGGCAAGAGAGGGCAAATTACTACCAAAAGGGAAGACACATATTGACTGGGGTGAAGGGAAGGACAATATACAATGAGGAGAGATCAGCACAAAATGATCAGGGTATAATAGGAAACTATGGGCAGCTTAAGAGTTAAAGGCAACAAATCTTGATGCCGTTATATTCACAGTACTACAACAGTAATAACAATCATCTACAAGTCAATAAAATCATATTGCACTGGGCAAATACACTGCACAAGCCCTCTGTGTTGAAGAACAAAAATGTTACTTTGAAGACTAAGGTGCATCTAACCCAAGCCATGGTAGTTTCAGTTGCCTCATATACATGTGAAAGCTGGACAATGAATAAAGAAAACTGAAGAAGAGTTGTGGTGTTGGTGAAGAATACTGAAAGTACCATGGGTACTATGTCTGTCCTGCAGGAAGTGCAGCAAGAATGCTCCTTAGAAGCCAGAATGCCCAGAGTTTGTCTCACCTACTTTGGTCATGTTGTCAGAAGCTACTGTTCCCTGGAGAAGGAAATCATGCATAGTAAAGTGTGAGGGTCAGCAAAAAAGGGGAAGACAAGATTGAAATGGATTTACATAGTGGTTGCATTGATAAGCTCAAGTATGGCAGGGATTTTGAAGATGGTTCATTACTGGTCAGTGTTTTGTTCTGTTGTCATAGAGTCGCTACGAGTCGGAGCCAACTTGAAGACACCTAAAAACAACACATGTAAAGACATAGATTGACATACTTCCCACAGGGCTGAGAAGGTGAATGTGACTAGACCCACAAATACATACAGGTTTGACAAAGGATATTTCTAATTATACATTTGTATGCCACTCCTCGGAAGGAAGTTTGGGCAATCCTACTTCCGTAGTGATACTGTCTCGGAAACCCAAGGAGGGGTTGCTATGAGTCAGGTTTGACTCGACGGCACATAACAACATAACAACAACATGTGGGAATATATCTATGCATGAATATAGTGGAACTTCTTAACTATAACCAAACACCTTGAAGAAATGAGTTACTGGGACTGAGGACTAAGGACCATAGTCTCAGGAGACACTAAGGTTAAGTGGCATAATATAGTACACAAAGACTATGCTCTAAATCCCACTTTGGTGAGTAGTGACTTGGGGCTGAAAAGCTTGTAAGTGGCCATTTAAGTGACAAATGTTGGTGTCTTCCCTTCTGGAGCAAAGAAAAGTGAAGAAAATCTGATACAAAGAAACAAAAGTCCAAACACCTTATGGACAATGTAAACCCAAGCCTTCAGGACTCTGAGACTAGAATTACTAAATGATGCCAAACAACCAGTGCTTACTACTCTGAAAGAGATAATAATAAAAGGTTCTGGACAGAGTGGGAGAAAAATGTGGAGCAAAAATCAAGGTCAGAAAAAGGACAAATTTACTTAGTACTCTGACAGAGACTGATGGAACCACTGTCACTATGCCATTAAATACTCTAT